TTAATACTTTAATAGGATTTGAAAAATGTATTTAATTTAAATAGTTAAATTATGCTATTATTATATTATTTTGGCCTATTTGTGTTAAAATTACAAAAATGCATCAAATACAATTATTTTCCCACATTGTCTTGTAGTTTTTTTTAGCTGTTATGTATTAAATAAAAATAGAATAGATATCATTTTTTGTTTCTGTTTTTAGTTGTGACGACCACAATCATTTTTGAGAATCTATGGGAAAATKAGTGTATGTTAACTTATTGTTACAGATTCTGTGGGAACAAAAATACATTTTCTTGACTAATAACTGTTTGAAATGMATAGTAATTTATTTTAGGTATAATTAGTCCTTAATTACCATGCATCATCTTTGGCATTGTTTTCATGAATGTGCTACTTAAATACAATACAATTTGTAAAGAAAACCATCTGATAATAATCAAAACTAGTGGAAATGTCAATAWTTTTTCTTATTCATACTTGCTTTGATTTAATTGTATACTAGAAATAAAACATATAAAAATATGTTTTTTCTTACACACTTATGAATCATGTGTTATGTGTATATTTTTTCAATTGTATTTGTAACATATTATTGTACTTTATTTTTCATATACATTTATAAAAGTACCAAAGTATTATACTATGATAATATTAAAAAGTACATAGATAGTTTTTACATATATATAAATTATATTGTAAATAAAACAAATTTATTTTTACATATTATATCCTTGTAAGTGATATCTTCATTAATCAAATAAAAGTTAATTATATCATAAAAGGTGGTAATTAATGTAACATAGTGAAACTTCTAATTAACAAAATATTTTTAAGACTGAATATGTATAATTTTGTATATAATTTCTCTACTTGGTGATTATTTGATCATYGATAACTCATTATTTCAAAAAGTATAAATGTTTAAAAAAAAAATTTACTTGTTTTGTATATTTTGTTAAAAACAATATTTTAACATTAYATTTATATTYTTTATCCTCAACATTTTTTAAGATTTTTACTTTTTTGAATGACAACATACAGTTATAATTTCATAGTCAAAATCAGAATATTTTTATAAGTATTTTGTTACATAAAAATCAAATTTAGGATGAGTATTTTATAAGTTATACATTTTTAAGATGAATGGAGTGGTACACGGTTAAACTGCTAAATGTTGGTCCACTACTCCGGTCATCTAAATTTTAAAGTACTTATAAAGCTGTAATTCATAAACTACTCATCCTAAATTTGATGTCTTAAAATACATAGAAAAATWTTCTATTTTAGAATATGAAATTAAATAATAAACTAGATGTTGCCATTCAAAAAGTAAAAAACTTATATGGATATAATATATATTTATATTTATTTTGAAAATATTGTTTTTTAACAACAAAAACCACGTTTTTTTAAAAAATATTTTTTGAAGATTTTATATTCACGTACCATCTACTCAGTTTGAAATTTTTCATTTACAAAATGACTAAATAAAATTTTTTTGGCTTATATTAAAATGTATGCGTTATTTTAAAAGTATGGAATTGTATTTATTAAGAACTACAAAATRTTGGTAATATTATAAATATTTAATGCATAAAAATAAAATAAAATACATATGTACAATTAGGTGTATTATTATTAACATTGAGTATACTAATAATTATGTTTCATTATAATTTTTTTATGAAGGGAGATTATCTTAGGATACCACCAGAGAGCATTTCGCATATCACTAGTGGTACGCATGCTTCAGATTGATAACCACTGCTCTAACCCATAGAGAATTAGCATTGAATAGAATAAATCTTGTGTTGTCAGCTTTATAGTTAAAGCAAATTGGTTTTTATCAAGGTTAATATTATAGTCTGTCCAATGAGAGAATATGCTGTGTGAACACAAAAACAAGTTGGCTCTGTGCATCAATTCTTGATTGGTGGCATATATTATTAGAGGTAGCCTTAATGTTAATATTTGTTTTTGATAAAATTCTTTCTTAAGAGGACACAACACCTAGTTGATTAACGAACCTCATTTTACATATGCAAATCTRGCGACTGACATGTTCTATCAAGAGACAATGTATAGGAATATAAGTTTGTACGTTAGTTGTTTTACAATATCTTAATGTTGTATGTCACTATATGAGGAATTCTGAATTCTAATAGTTTGCTTACTTATAATTACAAATATATTTAAAAAACACAACTAATGTTCCTCATTTTAAATTTGATAATAGGTCAATTTACTCTAATATTATAATTTGCTAAATTGTGTATTGGTAATTTAGAGAAAATAAATTTTGTGGCTGACTGTTGACATCTTTAGGCATTAGTTTATTTTTCATTTTTGTTCAACTATAAGTATACATACATTTTTAAATATGTATTTGTAATAGTTATCCAAGCTGTCTTATTACAATATGTTGATAGTATTAATTTGTTTTAAATATTCATTTAAGGCTCAAAGACAAGCTCAAAAAAATCGTGCCAAAAAATCAACTGGGAAAACCAAAGAAAAACTATTAAAAAATATGTTAGAACAGGCAGCCTTGAAAACTGTTATGAATACTGGAAATTCGTTGACTGAAGATGAAGTGATCTCAAAAACTATTGGTAGTTTAAATAAAGGAGCCGAAATCGATTTGTTTGAGCTACCAAAATTGCCAGAACCTATGTAAATTGATTTTTATATATAATTTATCTGATAAATGGATTAATTTTATTGTTAAGTGTATAACTATATATTAYTATTTTTAAATYTAATTTGAATTAAAAAAAAATGTTTTATAGTGAAATAGAGAAGACCAAAATACCTATAAATGAAAAAGACCARTCATACTTAAATTTKTCAAACGAAAAGAATGAAAATATTCTACTATTAGCAGTAGAAAATCAAAACAACGATTTTTTGTATGCAGACATAAAGGACAAGGAAACAAGTTCTCCAAAAAAATTAAATGCATGTACAATATATACCTATAAAAAACAACATTATTGCATACAGTTTTAAATATTTAAAAATTTGATTTTAGGCATTTTCATCTATGCAAATTGGTGAACTTTTAAATGGATTTTCAGAAGATCAAAGACGTAAATCAGAAAAAAAAAATCAACAAAAATCAAAGCATGAAATGACGTTAAATGAATTGGAAATGTTTTTGAACAATGACTGTGGGACTATTAAAAATGTTGATGAATTTGGTCAAAATATTAATTCTGATCATGATACTGTTTTTTACTATGAATCTGGTATGTGATTAAAACAGTAGATAATATGAAAGGATTATATTTAGAATTTTATTAATTTAAACAGTTAAATTAAATCATTAAAGACTGGTATGATTACACTTTTGTTGAAATAAAATCTTTTTAATCAACCTAACTTGTAAAAAATACAATGATTTAAGTCTTTATTTCCTTGTCAATATGACAATACACAACCATAGCTGTGAAAGATAATAATGAAGAAACATAATTCTATGGTTTTAATACCATCTTTTAAATTAAAAAAAACCTCTTTTATTTGTTTTTATTTGCGATATTTAGCAAACCTATTTTGTTTTTTGAATTAATGTAGATTAGAATGACTCTAATTTATTGTGTCTTABTTATATTGCATTAAATAATCATGTCATTTTCATGTATTGGTTAGTATGGTGTTTTCAACAATATAAATTCTGGGTTGAATGAAACCTAACATTGCATTAGTCACATTTTGTAATTTAAAATCCATCTTAAAATATTTAAATCATCAATAGAATCAATTTCTTTCTTTCAGAGTCTCTTTGTCCATAGCATCSAATTAAAGTCATCTATATGACTTTAAATTATTAAAAATGTTGTCATCATTGTTCCGTTACCAGATAAAACCTGAAATAAYTTCAAAATGTTAGAGWTATTATTAATAACWCAGAGATTGTTTTAACTATTAACATTAACTAATACTAAAATATAATTCAAACTAAATCAGTATTGTAATATGGTTTTTTTTAATATAGATATCAACAAATCATCTAAAAGTAGTAATTCAGAGAACATTGAAATGCCTAAAAAGATAAAAACTTCAAATTTAAAAAAAAGTGTTGAAACTGAATCAAAGAGTACAAGCCAAAAGATTTTTAATACTGATACCATTGGATCACCTACTTTAACAGAAGGTTTGCATTTAAATTTGATAAATTGTTAAGAAAATRTGATACCTGTGTATGTGTGATGCATCATCATGATGTATTTTCTTACAAACTTACMATATAGAAAATTTACATTCAGCAGAATCTATCTTGAGTTTTGAGTTTTAATACAATAGTTAACTTAACTATTATGAAATTTAAAGGTAAGTATATCATATGTGTTATCCCTTCTGTTTTTTTTTTTTTAAAAATATTTTAAATTTAAACTAAATTATAAGTATAACTAAACAAATAGGTATGATCGCAAAAACCAGTTTTGGTCTGGTTGGCGCATCCTCCACTATTCTACAAACAAAACTATTTCTCGTAGTTCTCCATATTTCATTGGTGGGCAATGCTAATAGAATAGAATAGAATAGAAGAGAAGAACGAACTATGTGGTGGACGAGGCAATGGTGGTATGGTATCACAAAGTTGTGATTATACCTATTTATTTAGTAATGGTTATAAGTATATTAAATATTTTGCTTTGAGATTAAAAAAAATGAAAAAAAACCGTAAAAATACATACAATATTTTTAGTTTTTACTAATAATTAATAATAATTGTAAATTTACTGCAATATTAACACTAACAACATAAAATAAATTCTGCTATGGTATACATTTCTAAGATGGAGATTACACATAAATGTTTTCTTAAGATAATTCAAGTGGCCAGTGCACCGTTTGTTTTTTCTCTCCGATCTACGTGCAACATTGCAAATTTATGTTCAGCAAAACTTATTCTGTGTTGTTACTTTTAATATTAAAGTGAATTTGTGAATTTGTCTATTATCAAATTTTAAGCTAAGAACATTATTTATGTTTTTTCATTTCAAAGTTTAGCTTTTTTTTGACGATGTYTTATGTTGTATACAATTTATATATATTTATAAATTGTAATAATTTACATGCTCTTAACATTCAAATTAAACTATCATAAAATAGCCAACTTTAAGAAAAGGGTAATGTCCGTAACTTAAAGTTTGATAMTACATGAATTCACTCTATTATTAAAAGTTATAACACAGCTAGTGTGGTTCTGCTAAATGTAAATTTGTTATTTTGCTAATGGGCCACAAAGAAAACAACTAGTGTGCTGACATATTTTTAAACGAAATCGTTATAATATATTTTAAAAATTGTACATTTATGGAATGAATACATATTAGTTATTATATATATTTATTTTACAGACATTGATGAAGATATATTTAAGGCACTTGCTGGTGATGAATCCCTTGAAGAAGATAGATTAGCATGGCTTATTTTCAATGAGAATAAAATAGCCAGTAAAAGGCGATCAAGTAATTTTTCATAATAAAATACTTATAAAATCACATTTACATCTTCAACTTGGAATTAATTGTTGTAGGCGAATATGAGTCACCAAATATAAAATGTCCTAAACCTGATATAGGTTTTAGTAGCAGTTCTGAAGTATTAACATCAGATATGGAAGAAGATGTAACAAAGAAAAATTGCAAAGTCTTGTCYAAAAAATATTTTTCAAGAAGTATTTTTATTACAGAAGATAATGTGTCGAATGAAAATATCGATGATTTTAATGAAGAAGATTATTTGTCATGGGTGTCACATAGTAAAAGTAAACATATATAATTTATTTCGATCAAATTAATTTATAATTTTAATTTAGGGATCCTTGATTTAAATCCCTGTAAGTTCAAGATAAACTTATTTGATAAATGCAAAATCACACCAAGGAATTATYTTAAATAACACATATTTAAAGATTAAAATATATCATTCTAAAAATACACCTCAATTAATTAATGGTAATTTTATATTATTTTATATTAGATGAACCTAGTCAAACAAAATTGGAAAACACAAATCCGAGTATCAATCATCATGATATTCCATCTACAAGCAAATCTTCATCATTTCTAGGAAACGAAGATAATGTATCTGAAAAAAATATTAACATGTTGGATCAACAAAATATTAATGAGTCAATATATTTTGTATCAAAACCTATAAAAACACAAGAATTTAGCATATCTAGTAGTGTTTCATCCTCKATAGAATCTGATAATTCAAATGGCTCTCTTTCCGAAAATTCTGTTAATTTTTCACCYGAGGAAAGTTTATCTGAAAATGATAATATAATAATACAAGGTTTGTTGAAGTTTCTCTAAAAATATTATTAACAATAATTAAAAMAAATCTATATTAGATATTATCAAGCTCTGAAACTTTAAATAATATTTTGTACATATATTTTCATAAGTAAGGACTCATTAGAAAAAAATTTAATATACATATATGACATATGTATACATAAATTCAAATTMAATTAAAAATTACTTGTGGATATGTTAAATCTGGGTATTACACAATTTTATAAAGCTTGGATAAGTTTGGTTAGTTCTGTTCTCCAAGAAATAGGATTAAATTACAAATTATTTTTCATTTGAATAATTTATGATTTTAATATATATATATTTTTAATGCAAAATATTTTTTTACTACTAATTTACTGACTTATACTTTAAAAATTTTAGGGAATCAATACAAACAAAAAGTCAATCAAAGTCCTAAAAAAGAGTCAGATATTCCAATACTACATAAAAATGAATTCAAAGAAATAAATTCTACAAAAGATGGTAATAATTTGGTTTGCAAATTAGAATTCGCATTTTATTTTGCCCATGTTCTAAAACTATTCAATGTTTTATATATTATTTTTAGATTAATATATTTAATAATGTATGTTTTATAATTAGTAATAAGAGAAACATTTAATTCTCCAACAACATTGAATACAATTTCTACAAAACTTCCTGAACCTCCTGACAATCAAATAAGTTCTATGAATGAAGAACAATATTATCAGTCCATACAAGTATTTATAAAATTTWATATATTAATATTGGTTTAATAATAATAAAAAAATTAACAATGGCTTTTTAGGATACTTTAGTTAAGCGTCAAAATGATTTGGCTAGTTTAAAAAGAACATCTGATCGAATGGCTTCTTCTGTAACACAAAAAATTACATCAGACATAAAGGTAATATTTGTCAATTATTATAAATGACTAGGTTTTATTTTTGTAATACATTGATTAAAGAAGTGTTTTATATTTTTTTGAGAATGAAATTGAAAACAAATATTATTTTGTGATTATTAATAGATATTGTTAAATAAAAGAGGTATTGGAATTTTTTGTTTTTACTTTATAATAAAACATATCAATTCTAAACCTGATTATTTCATTATATTATTTTAACTGATTTTTGTTTCTTAAATAAATTAAGCRTAACTTATTTTATAATGCATTTCCAATAACATTATTGTTGTTTAGTAATTAATTTCAATAATATACTTTAAAAAACGTAAGAATAATTTTTTAAAGTAAAGTTCTTTGTATAATTRTARCATATTTTTGTTTAAATTTTACATTAAGGTTACAAGCTTAGTAATTTTATGTTTTCAATTTTAGCAAATTATAAAAAAAATATGTTATTTTTATTTTGTTGTTATTATTA